GACTGCACGGCTCGCCGAATGAATGCCGGCTGCGTCTCGCAGAGACCGCGTGAGGGCCTCGCGGGGCTTGATGCAGCGAGCCGGCGGGGCGGCATTGACCAGCGCGCGATGCAATCCGACGCCTGGACTAGATCCGAGCTGCTCATCACGCACGTCCAGGGCGCTCCGATCGATAAACGACCAGGCGTTATTGTCGACGCGGGCGTGCGGCGTGCCGTGACGGTCACGCCTGACTTCCGTCCGTTGCAGCGACAGCCAGAAGGCCATGGAATCCTGGAAACGCTTCATGCGGTTCGACAACTCCAAGTTTGTCGACTTGTTCGTGGGACAGCTGAAATCTACTCTGCGGTGAGTGGTGCATTGCTTTAGTCACGGGTCTCCGAACTGCGCCGCTCGCGGCTGTGACACGGCGCCAAACTTGATGCTCCCATTACCCCCGGCGAGTCGAGGTCAAGTGTGATACTATATCTCGGTGCCACATGTGATAGTAGATCCCGGTGCCCGTCGGGTCTGTCTGATGGCTCAGTCTCAGCTGCGCTGACGCACATGGGGTCCCTGTGATTCAGCTTGTACGCTTTACCGAGGCAATGCCACTCACAGTCGAATGCCGTCTTTTTGGTGACGTTTGCTCTTACATGTCGCGCAAGGTCGTTTCATTTGCGTGGTGATACCCATGGCTGTGCTGTGTCGGCGTTATTCAAACTCTATGTCGCACCACTGACTGTTGGGTTGTCGCCGCATCCTTTCAACCCCATGTTCCTCGCTGTTGCGATGTCAATACCTTGTACTCTGACGCCGAACACGTCTGCTGCGTTCATGCCCGGTCGCCAGCCTTGCACGCCCGTTATGTATCCCTCCATCGCTGTGCACTTGTCTCCGTTTCTCGTGCGAGGTCGTCGTGGTGGGCCACCACACAAGCCTGTACTTTTGCACCGACTGGACGCCCACTGTGCCACCTTGCTCCAGCTACGATGTGTCGGTGACACGCGACCTGAATATGACCCCACCTACGCTGCGCGGGTGTCCTGTGGGGCGCCTTAGCGCGCGATGTACCTGATGCTCGTCATGCACTTAACTTGCAACGAGGACGGCGAAGTTTGAAGAGATGTCATCAGCTGTTTTTGGTTTGCCCAGCTATACTGTCGTCCAACGGTGAAATCCCATATGTTACTTTTTGTCCATCTTACGCCTGTCGTGTCATCTTATTTATCTACTCATGCTGATTTCGATTATTTCAACCATTGAGTTAAGTATCCGAATGCGGCATGAGAAGACGAATCAATGACATATAAAAAACGCAAAACGATTAGAAATGAGCATGTGTAATTTTACCTTTGGACGGTAGTACAGTCTGAGCGCCAGACTGCAGTGGTAGTGCCTGATCAGTTCACGGGGGTCATGTCAGTTGCACACGTCCAGATTAATCTAACATGTCAAATGGTCCCGTGTTGAAGCCACTGCACGCCTCAGTGGCGATATGTGTGTTGTCAGTGTGCACGATCTCCGCGCCCTCAGCCAGGCGGCGTCGATGACCCGTGACATTTTGTGCCAATGGTCATGCTGTGCTGATGACGTGCTGCCATCCTTGTGCCTCCAGCTGTGCTGTGCTGGTGACGGTGCTCTCGCGGTTGCCAGGCGTGCTGTGTGATTCGTCGGTGATCCCCAGTGTCCTAGCTGTACTGTGTTCGTGACCTGTGACCTGCACATGCTCTGGGCTGTATTGTGTTGATGACCCGTGACCTCCCTGCGTTTCCCGCTGTGCCGTGCAAGTGACATGTGACCTCTGCTTGTCCCCAACTGTACTCTGTCGGTAACCTGTGGCCTCCGCACTATGTCTTATTGGTGACCTGTGACCTCTGTACCCCCAGCTGTACTGTGTGCGGTCATCCCCTCGGTCACCTTCGACCCGTTCTGGGACCTGAGCCTGCCCATCCCGGCCAAGACGGGCCAGGTGCGGTTACAAGCCTGCTTCGACCTCTTCACCAAAGAGGAGGTGCTGGATGGAGATGAAAAACCGGTAAGGATCGAACCTCTCTCCATGAGATTCCGGGTAGTTTGTTATCTCGTTCTCACGGCCTGCATTTCGGTCGCGTGCTATTGGTCGGCGATTTGTGTCGGTTTAATCCCAATACCGGCAGCGTGACACTCGCTTGTATGACGTGAGCCCGTATGGCATTCAACCGCCGGTAGATACGATGAACGCCTCATTAAAGACGGCAGGTATTCACGGGCACGCGAAGGACAGCTTAGTAACGGACGAGACCTGCTGTCGTCCTTCACTATCGGATCAGAGTCCTGACAAGTGACCGAGGGACGTTTCGTGTCATGTTCACGTGGTGTGTCCCTCCGCAGACCTGCTCCAAGTGTCAGAAGAGGCAAAAGTGCACCAAGAGCTTCTCGATCCAGAAGTTTCCGCGCATCCTCGTGGTGCACCTGAAGCGTTTCTCGCCGCAGGAGCGTTTCCGCGGCAAGCTGAACAGTACTGTGGACTTCCCGCTCTGTGGCCTTGACCTCTCTCCGTACTCGGAGGGACAGGGCCCGTGCAAGTACGTACCCATGTCCCGTTCTGCCACGTCACAAAACCAGGGCGTTGTCCCGCGTGACCACTGTTGACAGCCAGACGCTTCGTGCGACTCAGGTCATTTTTCAGTTACGTGTTGCTGATTTATTTATTACTTGCATGCGCCATCGAATTTCTGTAGTGTTTCTGGCAATTTAGGGCATAGTGTTTAGCGTCTACTTGTTGGTTTTTACTTGCGTACGTACATTATTCTAACGTTGAAAGGATGGCTCATGCCGTCGACCTAAAAGGATGTCGTTAATCTCCCACCTTATACGGTAGTTCGTACCACTCTGTCACGCGGGACGTACACGCGTGCAATGATGCTTCCTCACGACAGCTTTTTCACGCCTACCGCAGGTACAACTTGTACGGCGTTGCGAACCACTCCGGTACCCTGTACTCGGGTCACTACACGGCCCACTGCAGACATCCGTACTCGCACGAGTGGCACGAGTACAACGACAGCAGGTATGGTGGGCGACGCGCTCGAGCCGCGTGAATGCCGGCCTCGATTCCGAAGCAGAGCGTCTTCTGTATGACCGAGCGGATGCTGATCTGATGTTGTGTGGATGCCTCTTTGCGTTCATGTGAACGGACCGGTTGATGCATCGCCCCTCTTTAATAGCTTTTATAATTTACCTGCTCTTGGTTACTGTCAGCCGGCTGGAGGCGTAGCTGACGGAGCTTCCATATCGCTGCAGTAATTTCCATGGTGTAAGCCTCGAGCTGACTGTATGTATATGCGTTGCCATTCACGGTAGTGAAATCTATGTAAGAGACTGGCAATGGAAAATGTCAGTCAGCACCATGCAAATGCGTTGGAGTGATCATTACCGTAGCGTTATCAGTGGCCGGAGGTCGCGGGACACTGCTGTGGGATCAATAGGTGCGTGATGTGCGGCACATGTCAGAGTTGCGTGAATGCTGAGCTGTGCTGCTCTAACTCACTCCTCGTGTGCTCTCCAGAATCCGCACCGTGTCCCAACGCTCAGTGGTCAGCAATGAGGCCTACGTGCTCTTCTTCGAGCTGGCCAACGCCTCCAATCTCTAGCGTCCGCCGAGACCCGGCCCGTGACCTCGCGTGACCCCGCGTGACCCGGCCGCCCGCCGCAGTCTTTCACGAGGGTGGTCTGCCACGTGCTCGCGTGCGTGGCTGGTCGGCCGACCGCGAGCCGACCAGGCCGGCGAGGCGACGCCGCGCCCTGCCGGCCCGACACTCCGGACTCGACACCGCCGCCAGTGGCCTGGGACGGGCTTGTCCCGGTCAGTGGCGGCCCGACACGGCGCGCCTGCCCAGGGTGGTCCAGGGCGCCGCGGCCTCACAGCGGCACGTGGTCCTCGCCGGGGACGAGGGGAGACGGGCCGGAGGACGTGCTGCGAGGACAGGCACAACGCTGCGGCGGAGGTGGTGAAACGCAGGTTGGCGGGCGGCACGCTGGTTGGAGCGGCGGCGCCCCGCCCGGAGGCTCACGAAGACGGGGCGAGCAGGCCTGAACCCGCGAAGTGCAAAAGCGGCGGGCGCGGCTGAGTGATGAGGGTCTTGCCGGTGACGCGGAGGCGGAGAGCTTACTGCCGACGCCGCCGTGCGGCGGTCCGCCCAGCCAAGGCCTTGATGACGTGTGGTTTCCGCGCACTGTAAGCGCCGAGTGAGCGGCAGACCCGACCGGAGGGCAGGCTGCGTTGGTGTGGTGCGAGTGATATCCCGACTTGTGTGAAGCCTGCCCGGCCCGGCTGGGCGTGGGTCCGGCCCAGGCCCCGGCCCCGTCCCCGCGCTCGGTCTGGTACCGCCCGCACCGGGCGGCGTGTGTCGTGTGGCCGTCCCCGTGTCGTGAGGGTCGGACTCTCCTCCCTGGTCGGGAGGCGCGCGACGCCGGCCGCCGTGGCGCTCTCGCTGCCGCCGTTTAAGAGTGACTAGCGGCGAGCACGCCTCCGCACGCCCCGTTGTCCAAATATCTAGTCGGCATTCGTGCTACCGTTGTGCAGATTATACACGAGGCGTTGGTCTGGAGGCCACTATATTAGTGATGTCATATGAATTAAAAGTACGAAATAACCACCGTCTTTTCTGTTTTATTCGTTTCGCAAGTACTCGACAAAAGTTCGTTCGAATGCGTTCAGCCCGTTGGGTGCGAAATGAATCGGGACCTGCCATGAACCCACGAACGACTAGAGGGCTGTTAAAGACAAGCTCGGACACTGTTAGATCAGAAATATGAACGGAACGTCACCTCTGGCGTGCCCTCTCTGGCACACGGATGGTGGCGCGTCACCTAAAGCGGACACGGAGCAAACAATAAACATGACAGGGGCCACTCACTGCCGCAAAGTCCTCTGCGGCGCCCCTCGTAACGCAAACACTGGGTTTCACGCTCACTGCGGGAGCCGCCTGGCGGCAGCGGCGCGAACCAAGCCGGCGCGTGCGCCCTAGCCGCAACGTCTAACTGCCGCCGCCGCCACCAGTCAGCTCGTCCTCGTATTGCTTGCGGAAGCAATCGCCGACGGGGAAGAAGTCCCAGGAGCGCTGCTGGTACAGCGTCCAGACGTACGTCTCCTGACCGGTGTACTCGGTCTCGTCCTTGTTGATCAGGTGCATGAGGAAGAACCTGCCGGCAGGGCGGGCGGGGAGGCGCGTCAGGCGGCGCTTCTCGGTCAGCCGGGGCAGCTAGCCGCCCGGCGACACGCCTCAGGGTAGCGATGTCGACCGATGCGGTCAACTAGTGATGTCCCACCTTCCAAGCCCGAGAACCAAACCGAGTGCAGTTTGCATTTTGCCAAGCTTGCGAATGTGGTTTGCATTTTTGGCAAAGCCGGCATGGCAAGACATTTGTTATTGCACCACGTGCGAGCGGTGTAAGTGATAGAAGTGGTGCTCATCACAAGAAGTTTGCTAACTTCAACTTCTTAATCGTGTGTTCAGTTGCGCCGTACTTTCAGCAGCGCACTGGGCGCCCGCACGGACGCATCCAGTCAGCTCACGCGTCTGGACTCCCTGCCCCGGCTCTGACAGTCACAATCTCCTCCGAATGGGTGCATGCACAGACAGAACACGACTTCTAAAATTATATGCGTCTATATGCACAGACCGCAGGAGACCTCTTTCCTGTGTGAAGCCGCAAATTATCGCCGACTCTGTTCACGTACAAGAGCTGAATAAGAACCCCGACGTGGAACTACCGCGCATCGAAAAAAAACTCCCGTCCCGAAGCACAGCGGGGAACGGTACCCCGGACTGAGAGATGGAAGGGGAGGGCGGGAGAGTGTGTGGGGGGGGGGGGGGGCAGAACGGCAGCGGTCGATAGCACCGGCCCTGAGTCAGCGCTGTGAGGTGCCCCTGATGACGGCGGTGACGTGGCCGGGAGACACCCGTGATCGACGACTTCGGAGAATAAAAGGCGCCGTTCGTGGCGCTGCCGAAGGCGCTGCCTGCTGCGCTCGCCGCCTCCGGGCGTCATCCGGGAACATGACGGGAACTGGATCCCCGCGGGCGCTCGATTCACGCATGGTACCAGCACGCGACAGGTCATTGCTACATGACACTGTCATGTGACAGTACATTGGTACATTGTACTGTCATATGACGGTACATTGGTAGACTGTGCACAGGTACATTGGTCACATCCGAATGCTACACAGTGGGTGCCTGCGTGATGCGTCTTCCATATGGGCGGAGCTGGGAGCGAGCGAGATGGATGCAAAAGAAATTATATGCTGTCACATCATGAGGGATTGAAGAAGTGCTGAGGTATTGTGCAGACGGCGCTGTCCCGGTCATTGGTTTGCCTTTATCTCACATCACCGTTTTTTTATTATTTTGTCGTTGAGGTGAATGATCCGGCCTTCTGAAGGTGTAACAAATGAAAAAAACCGCAAAAGACGGGCCGGATCACATGAGAAACGTTTTCATTTCTCCTGTTCTTATTGACCCTTTAGTAGATCTGGCGCTCCCACCAATGCCTCAAGTTGAGTAAGACGGCAGGGTGCGTCAAAATCATCTTGCGCGGAAAAGCCACCGAAGACTAACTCCAGGTTTGCTACCGCAGTTTAACGGAGGTATACATGGTCCGGCACCTGAGCTCGCATTAACACCTACCGAAGCTACCAAAAACACCTCAAAATCAGCACTGGCGTTCCACGTCTCCACCAAGCATGCGCCATCGCCCAACTCACATGTAGTTGGCCAGGTTGTGTTCCTTCTGCACGTGCGTCTCGAAGCCGTGCGGCACGTTGTCGAAGTAGTCCTTGCCGATGCCGCAGATAAAGCAGTTGGACTCCATGTCCTCCTTCACCGACTCCAGCTGGTCACGCAGCTCACCGAACGCGTCGATGATCAAACCTGGCGGCAGGCGGCGAGGGGGTCTCAGGGACGGGGCGGGGGGGGGGGAAGGGGGCCACATGACCAGCCAGACTCAGAACAGCGGAGGAGCCGGGAGAAACTTCTCCCGGCTCCTCAGAAAGAGGAGCAGGGAGCCTTTCAGGGGCTTCTGTTCTGAGTTCTCCTGCCTCAGAGACGGGAGAAGCCAGACGAACAATCCTTTGAAAAGGGCGCTAACACGTAACACGATGCGGAGGTCTGGGGAGTAGTGTTGTAAAAGGCGCACAGCTGGCTCTGCTGATTGGCTGAGACAGCTCCAAGGTGAGTTTCTGTGATATCGCGGTCACAAAAACTGATCAATAGCGTGTCGTCGTATCACACATCTTTGCAAAAGAACACGCGTTAACTGAGGACTGCGTCAGCAATGGTTTGGTTTCGCACAACCAGAACTGAAGAATTGTGCTTCTGATAATCCTTTTTAGCTGTCGCTGAACCTTGTCAAGATGTTGGTTCAAAATCTGAGGCCCGTGTGTGCGAAAAATAACGCCACTCGAAAAGACTTCTCCAGGTTGCTGACCGACTCGTGAATCCGCTTACCCTGGATGATGGCGAGCAGAATGACGATGACGAAGAAGAAGAAGGAGATGTCGAAGAGGATGCGGTAAACCTCGTTCAGGTCGCCGTCCGGCGGGTCGATGACGTCACCGATACCACCACCGGCACGCACGCCTTGGTATAGGTGGAACACGAAACACTGCAACATAGGTCCACACCGGGGTAACATGGAGCATCGCTCGGCACACGCAGTGTGATCAGTTCTGAACGATTCCGGCGAATCGCTATCAAAGGCCACAGACTGCTGGGATTTATGGCATTTCATGCTTACTGCAACAATGCGGAGTCGAGTTGTTGTCACGAACCGAGTAACGAAATCTAAATTGTCACAGAAAGCTGTTACAATTTGCATCCTTGTTCAGCGTACAGGCGCCTCGCTTTTCTGGTTTCATACCAGATGCCCATCTGCGACGTTTGACTACAAGCCACCCCGTGATACGAGTTTATGCACGACGGAAACAACCATGAGGGATCGCCGTGAGGGATCGCCCCCTACGTGGACATGAGACTCTTTTCGTCCGCTCATGTACGACTTATGCCCCGCTTGTCACGCGTCAACCCTTGACGGAATGGTGCGACTCCTCACCGTGAACATGTCGTGACACTTCTGGTCGACGTTGTCGTCCTCCGCCTGCACGTAGAACTTGCGGAAGAAGTTGAATGCGATCACGGTGTAGATGTACACCACGATCGTGAGCAGCAGCAGGGTGAGCATCAGCTGGAGGGCATTGAAAAACGTGCCAAACCCTTTGAGCAAGGTTGCACGGGGATACCTTACAATGCCGATGAAGAAATTAATTCCCAAATAACACTGCATTACCACAGGCGTAAGCACGCGTAAGCATGATAATACGTGCACCAGCGACGCGCAGAGCAGAATCAATTAAATAAACTCTCGCATTTTACGACAGCATACCAGTCAGCAAGAACCAATGTAACGGAACGGCTGAACGTAATGAGGTCCTGAGGAAGCCTTAAGTTCCACGCATCTCATCGTAAAGGCGACACATCAGACCCGACACTAGTCCAGGAGGCATCGGACACGCCACCGTTGCACCACGACTCCTCAGTACCGATCCGGGGCTCACGCCGCCGGCTGGCCAGAAGGGGAGCGTCACCACCCCAGCCGCACTCTGCCACTGCCTAACCGGTACCGATCCGGGGCTCACCCCGCCCGGCTGGCCAGAAGGGGAGCGTCACCACCCCAGCCGCACTCTGCCACTGCCTAACTAGTACCGATCCGGGGCTCACCCCGCCCGGCTGGCCAGAAGGGGAGCGTCACCACCCCAGCCGCACTCTGCCACTGCCTAACTAGTACCGATCCGGGGCTCACCCCGCCCGGCTGGTCAGAAGGGGAGCGTCATCACCCCAGCCGCACTCTGCCGCTGCCTAACCAGTACCGATCCGGGGCTCACCCCGCCCGGCTGGCCAGAAGAGGAGCGTCACCACCCTAGCCGCACTCTGCCACTGCCTGACCGGTACCGATCCGGGGCTCACCCCGCCCAGCTGGGCAGAAGGGGAGCGTCACCACCCCAGCCGCACTCTGCCGCTGCCTGACCTGCTTGCCGTTGTGTGTGACCGACTGCAAGATCGTCTTGAGCGATGGCACAGCCACCGCCACATCCAGCAGGTGAGCCGCAAAGAAGAAGTAGTTGTAGTTGCCCAAGATGGAGAAGATGAAGTACCAGAGCGAGTACAGGAAGGCGTTGTCAGTGAAAGTGACGCCGATCTTCCACAGCTGATAGCGCCAGTCGATGCTGGTGATGCTGCCGAGGGGCGTCGTACGGTGAATATAATATCAAGCATCATACAAGTATAAGCGCGCAGGGCAATACGTAGTAGTGGTCGCGTTGATAGCGGCAGCAAATAATGCCCTGCTATAACAGTCTCCATCGCAACGCACAGCTTTCCCTCCCTGGATGCATGACTACCCGAGTCACATGTGACTGCTGCGTTCATGAACTCATCGCACACCATTCGCAACGTCATCGTCGGCCCCATACACGCCTGCCGATCTCGGCTGTCCCACTGCAGCACTCACAAGTGGAAGAAGCCGCTTCCCGTGGCCTGCTGCGACATCGTGACGGACTTCTCCATGCCCAGCAGATTGCTGATCTGGTCGAAGTCGTACGAGTCGCTGTACTTTTGGCGGACACGCTTCTTCACGAATTTGTCCCAGTAGTTCGCCGGGAACATTCTGAGGCAGTCAGGGCAGTGTCCTCAGCGTACACAGTGGGGGTGCTCTACCCGACCAAGGTACACATGCGGTCCACCTCGGAGTAATGGATTGCACAAACAGTCAACACAGGGAACACGATAGCCAACACTGGAGGCCCATCATAGCAGTAATAGCCGAAGGAAAAAAGGCTGATCAAAGAAACAGATCATCCCCAAGGCATCGTACACTTGCGGCTTCCACGTCGGTGCTACGTTTAAACACATAATTGCGCCCGTTCCCACGAGGCCATAGGTGGGCGTACTCCGATATCTGGCGGCCTTACTTGGCGGATATGACCAGCTTGTCCCAGTGGGCCATGAGATCATCATCCTCCGGCTGCGAGGCGAGGTAGAGGCCGTCGAACTCCAGCTTACGGCACACCTCCTTCTCGCGTTTGAATATGCCCAGCGGCACCTGTCGGCCACACACAAGTGACGTCACCAAGGCGTTCGAGGAGGAGGGAGCTGGACGCCCCGCTTGTGGGTTCGGGCCAGCGGGAACAACGCCGCCGACAGCCCGGGGAGATGAGGACGCCTGGTGGGAACATTGGGAGAAAGACCAACCACGAAATAAAAATGAAGACCGACGACGAAAATGAGCGGGCATTTTCATCCACGAAATTATCTGTCATGAAGGTGAAGAAACGAGCTCAACGGCAATAAAACCGGCACGGTATATCTTTACTCTGAAATTGCTTCAGTCACCGGCAAGCTTGCGATGGCCTGTACTTTTTCACCGCCCAGTATTTCACTTGACCGAGTGACCGACCTTGAGATGGTAGTAGGCCACCAGCATGAAGAGCGAGACGGTGCTGTGGATGATGGACATGAGGCGGACGACGTGCTCCAGGAAGAAGTACTTGTCGTCCACGTGGATCCACTCGGGCCCGTCCTCCTCGTCTTCCTCGCCGCCGGCCTCCGCCCCGTCCCCGGAGGACAGGTCCGCATCTAATGGACGGCCAGGCACGTGAACTCAGCAGAAACGACGTCCCCCGAGAGGGCGAATGCTGCCGGACTCCTCACTCAGCTCTCCACAACGCTGATGGTGGCAGGCCTGCGATGGCGCACGCGCTACCTATGCTCCCCGAAATGTTTCGCCTTTCCAGTAGCGACATCTATCGAAGTACAGCCAGCCTGTGTGTGTGCGTGACTGAACGTGGCCGCGACCCAAACGCTTTGCCTGATAACTGGTGACAACCCAGGTCGGCGGATCTGATGAAGTGCAGCTCAAAACTGCGGAAATGCATTGTTCCAAACAAGTCACAACAAACCGCACTGAAGCAAACCCAAACAGGAGGAAGCCGTGAGCAGCAACGATTGGCCCAGCGTTCAGGTCAGAAAACAAATTTCCAGAAGCTACAGATATTGAGCCTGTCACTGAAATTCGCCGAATACCCAGGGCTGACTCACCACCGAGATCTGAGCCACTTCCCGACACAACATCCTCGACAATATCAGCGCCCGTGTCCAGGTCATCATCACCATCCTCCAGCAGAGCGGAGGCCTGCAGAAAAGTCAGCAAGGGTCACTACGACCGCGTGCTATCAGGGTGGCAGCTTGAAAGTCAAAGTCAGCAAATACCTTCACGGCTGTCATCATCACATCAACGGTAATCATCATTCAGTTGTGTCAGCATCAGTTGGGAATACGGTGAGAAGACTCAGTACAAAACACGATCAATCCCGCACAATCGCGCGTCGAAAAAGATCGAAAACAGTTGACCGGAGCTCTTCACAATAAGCCGTCCCGTCCTTAAACTCACAGCAACTTATCCCAGTACCTCTGCGGCGCAAATCCCCGCCCTGCAGCCATCTCTACGGACGGGTAAGGTGCCAGGAAAGCCATCCGATCCCGCATCGCCACATACGGCCACTCGGCGCCGTGTGGAGGGCAGAGCGGCCGGGCGAAGGGACGGCGAGACCCCGGTCGGTCAGGGTCGTGACCTGTCACCGGCCGGTTCGATTGTACCGTGTCCCGCCGGTCCGACTGAGCCCGTGCTCCACCGGTCCGACTGAGCCCGTGCCCCACCGGCCCGACTGAACCCGTGCCCCACTGGCCCGACTGAACCTGTGTCCCACTGGCCGGAACGAACCTGTGCCCCACCGGCCCGACTGAACCCGTGTCTCACTGGCCGGAACGAACCTGTGCCCCACTGGCCCTTCTGAACCCGTGCCCCACTGGCCAGAACGAACCCGTGCCCCACCGGCCCTTCTGAACCCGTGCCCCACTGGCCAGAACGAACCCGTGCCCCACTGGCCCTTCTGAACCCGTGCCCCACTGGCCAGAACGAACCCGTGCCCCACCGGCCCTTCTGAACCCGTGCTCCGTCCGGCGACGCGCCTCACGTCTGACCCCGGACGTGAGGTCAGGGTTTGACCGGGTCTCTGCGCGCGTGTCGTCTGCGCTCGGGTTCTTGCACGGCACCGACGGAAGGTGCAGTGTGCGGTGGTCAGGAACGGTGGAAATGGGGAAGGGGGAGGCAGCACAAGCAGCAATCCCCATAACGATAACTATGCTATATTAATCCTTTGGAGCGGCATGTCCGGAAGCGGCCAACAAATCGCATTTGTCTCCCATCCTCATCTCCCCAGAGGGTCTCTCGTTACTGGTGGTGGTTCTGGAGACGCCCCCATAATTATACCTGATTTCGCCGACGGATGGGGGTGAGGGATGGGGGAGGGGGAGGAGAGGCGCGTAGCACCACACCAGATATCATTGTTCATTAAAATATGACGTTATGTTGACAATTACAGCGTGAAATGTAGCGTTTTCCATCAAATAACCTGACGGGAATGACCTTGCTAACACAAATGTAGCAATTTCATACAACTTGCCAGTTGGCGTAGTGAACGTGGGATCATCACCCTGTTGAATTCATTACAATCAGTTGAAATCCAACACGCAGATATTCCGCATTTGTCGCACGTCTCCGTTCCGATCCGATCCAGAAAAAAAATTGTCTTAGCATTCCAGTTAGTCCACTATGTCTCGATCCATAGGGCAGCACGGTGATCATGCCGACGCCCTCCTGATGTTGTGAGGCGTGCCCCTGCATACGACTGAGACCCGTCCCACATGCATTTATTATGCGCCCCTCTACCTGAATTTAGAGGATCCATCGTGCTTGGGGGCTCCCAATGTTCTACCATCTAATTCTGGGAGCGCCACACCACCTAGAATGGGAGTACCTGATCACTTCCGCTCAAACTCACCAAATCGCGAAGGGGTTGTGTCTGCTTAGGCATCGGGACCTCTCCGCACGCGTATCGGCCTGGGGAGCACCTTTATCTAGGATTGAGGAGCACCCTCGTACTCGGGCTTGACACGACTTCCTTATGGGCTTGAGCACTTGTCCGTCGGTCATTTTACTTAGAATTATGGTTTTTCAGACGCTTTCGTGTACCAGGCGCCAATCGCTTTTTGCGTGACTTGGGGCGCCGTTCCACTTGGGTTTTATAGCGCCCGTCTTCGGGCTTCCTGCAACAAGTTGCCTTCATCTGACGAAAGAACTCAATCATTTTCAGTCGCTTTGAAGAGGAACAGACGCTAGAGCCTCCCCTCCCCCTGGGTGCGCCATCGATTGCATAGATTCTACATGCGCTACAGGCACGGCTGTGCGGCGATGACACCAACAACAACCGGTTTTGCACGTGGTAAATTGCATGAGAAGCTCATTTCGTAAGCATGCAAAGCATCTCAGCCAGCAATTGCTGGAAGGAACATGACGGGCCAAGTGAAAGGGAGCCATTAGGATCACCGGCAGCTTCGATCCCCGCTAAAGCTTCGATAACGACACTCGAAATCATCTTGGTGTCTAAAACTGTCCGGCGGAAGGGAGCTCGACAGCTGTAGTTGGTGCTCAGTGCAAGCTAATGATGGTTGAAAAACTGTGGCAGCCACCTTGATCTTGTAAAACCACATGACGTCATTTGTACAATTTCCGCTCGCCATTGTCTGTGGTGATGACTGCTGATCTTAGCCCGCTTCTCAAATATGCGTAATACAGAAGCAGATAAAAGTGAAATATCGAGTATATTTGCCGACTTTTGTGACAGACGATATTTTATGGCACAAACGGGAATTTTTGCCGATAAAACACTTCCCGTCTAAGCTACAAAGCAGCTGTTTTCACCAGACCTGCCTGAGCGACTAGTCCTCAAAGCGGATCGATCCGTATCAAAGTTGTTCCTCTTATTGGTGGTGTGATGAGAGGCCTTTGATCCAGCAACATAATTCAACCAAACAACACCACTCCACCTCATTTGCCTTATGTAATAAGAAGTTTTGACCCATAAGCCTGCATGCAACCAAACAGGCACTCACAGGCCAAAAAAACGACAAAAAACGCCGCTCGTTCAGATACGCTTGTTACTTCGTAGATAACTTAACCACTTAACTCCGCCGAGCCATGTCAGGTTTTCGATTGCGCACAACATCGAGCCGCGCCGATCAAAATCACGCGCGTGATGTATTCCCCACGTGACCGAGACAGGAGCCAACGTTTCACCTCAGCACAGCATGTGATCATCAACAGGGTGGGGACCGGCAACGAGCAGCGATGAAGCCGTCGAACACCGCTGGTAAGGTGACGTTCACCCATGAGGGTGTGGGTGTCACTGTCACCAGCGGATCACACGAGTATCAGCAGGCGAGCTCTCGAGCACTGAGTAACGTGCTTAAGCGGCCGTCAGGCACACTAGCACGGTTATTTTTTGCGGAATGAAAGTTGGGTTCTGCGTAACTTAGCCTGGTGTTGAGTTACCCTGTAACCTCAACCTGTTAACCTGTTACCCTGTAACCTCAACCTGTTAACCTGTTACCCTGTAACCTCAACCTGTTAACCTGTGACCTTGTAACCTCAACCTGTTAACCTGTTACCCTGTAACATCAACCTGTTAACCTGTTACCCCGTAACCTCAACCTGTTAACCTGTTACCCCGTAACCTCAACCTGTTAACCTGTTACCCTGTAACATCAACCTGTTAACCTGTTACCCCGTAACCCTAACCCGAGGTTAATTCTGGCCACAAGCTGGTCGGATCGGAGCTATATCCCTGTGTGATGAAAGCCAGTCTCAGCCTAAGCCAGCCGGTAATTGCCATTCATACGGGTTTGAGTAGACCGACAATCTGGGCCCGCCCGAAACTCAGTGCATCTACCCCCGTCGAATCGCGTTATATCCCCCTGTGACACCGGTAAGTTTAGACTGAATCCAGCTGTGACCGCGGCGAGTTTGGGTCGAGTCCACCTGTGACCCCGGCCCGCTTGGCTTGATTCCGTCTGGGAGCCCCCCCCCCCCCCCGGCTGGGGCGGCCGACACTTTCACCTGTCGGCGCACATGAATCCCGAAACACTTCGATGGTCCGTGTGCCGGCGTATTCGGCAGTGGTGAAGGTCAACGCAATGCAAAAAACTATCTTAGTGCGATCTGTCGGTCAATCGCCACAGGCATCTGACAAGCCAGGCCTTCTTACACATCGTGAGCCGGACCAGGTCCATCCAGTGCATCCAGGCGAATATCAAACAGCGGATTGACATATAAAACAGCGTATCTTTAATCCCCCGTGGGGCGGCGCATACGGCGGCCGCTACCGTGTCAGCCGCGTCACGTGCGGTGAGTTGAGGGCGCCCGCGGCGTAAAGGCTTGCGTGCTTTCACTGAGCCCCGTGGTGTTTATAAAGGGCAAGGCAGTTGAGGGGGGGGGGGGGGGAGCACCGCGGGGACCACCCCGGCGGCCCGTGTCATTTGTCATTGTGTCTCTGCGGGGCGTTCACTTGGCTTCATCAGTCATGTCACGGTGAGATCAGATGAGACGTCGCCTACAGGAAGAGCAACGACAAAAACGTCTTTTACAAGTCGTTTTCATAATGTCGTGCCGCGGTGGACAGTCGTGGCTTGCGTTACAGCTGTTCAAATGCCATTGCTAGTTGGCGTGAATGTCTCTACAATGTCTGTAAGCGTTCAAGAATGGCCACTGCAACCACCACCAGTCACATCATATTCCGAGTTGGTTTTCGTACAACAAAAGTGTGTACTGGACTTGTTAGAAACGACATTTCTTAACGAAGGACAAGTGATACTAAACATTGTATAAGGTGTACGGCAGTTTTAGGGGCCCAATTCGATGCAAATAGCTTTACAGCCCACTAAAAGCATCAAGTAACCGTGCGAATATCCGCCTACTGTGGGACATCCACTTGGACATCCACACGTGGGCTGTTCATAGTATACCGCGTGGAAACCTCGTGTAGAAGCACTACAAAACACGGCACGTTCACCTGCTCGTGTAACCAATCACCACCGGTGAAGCGCGCGCACGCATGAAACAAAGGAAAATAGTCTGAGCATAACAGCTGCATATTCCTACCAACAATTGGCGACCGCGCCAGCGACGTGGCTGTCGACTGTCGTTTGATGCACGACAGGCAGCACACATGACCCAAGCTGTGGGGATCAAAGGAGACAGCAGCAGCAGTGGCAGCAGCAGCAGCAGCAGCACACGACAAAAGTAAGGGCAGAGGGCTGCTCCGTGCATAATCTGCCCGGGCATGCGGTTGCGCATGGCCGACTGGGGAAAGGATCCCAGGATAGATGGGACAACATGCGGCACGCTCCCTACATGGGAGCGGTCAACTGGCCGCACCTGCAGCACAACCAGAAAGTCTTCTTTTCTTCTCCGAGAGCTTATGGCGACCGGTGGCGAAACATGCACCGCTGACAGAGGCCGGAGGCCAACCGAAAGACTTATTTAAATATTCCCGTGGAGACGAAGCCGAGGTGATGAATACACATCAGGCGAGGACAGAGAGGACAGGGATATTCCGTGACATCGGAACCATCCAAGTCCCGGGAATCGACAAGGCCACTAGACCGCCAATACGGAAGCAGTCCCAACACGCTTAGCGTGCTGACGCCATGAATCCGACGGTGCCACTCCGTTTCGACGGCGCATATTTGCGGCGAAAGCTAAAAGTTCCGAATCGCTCGGCCCGGTTCGACCTGCCCCCCCCCCCCCCCCCCCCCCCCACGTCACCGGACGTTTGGCTCGGCCGCTGTCACTGGCCGCCCGCCACCTCAGTCAGCATCCAACAGCGAGCGCCGAAAGCGACTCCAACCCACCGCTCAACGGGCGGGAGCATGGGTAGGCAGGCGTTTTAACTACGGCTGCACTGTCGGGACGGCCACCTCCGCCCGGCTTACCTTGTAGAAGAGCAGCATGAAGTTGATGCAGAAGGCCAGCACCAAGGCCACATACTTGAGGTTGTAGAAGTTTCTGGCCAGGAAGCTGACCACGCGATGAATGTACTCGCTTAAATCAACCTGTCAAAGCACGCGCTCGGATAACACCTACAAAGCCGTCGCTTCACTCACTTCAATCAAGCTACATCCGCTGGCACACTGGTCCCCACACAACAAGGCCCATGCTAAAGTCTGTATAGCTGTGATGATGAGACCAGTATAACCACAGCCATAAAACCAATGCGCTGTTCTGAACCTAGCAAAAATGTCAAGTGGTGTATGGCAGGTGAGGCCATCGCTGGTCTTGCTACATAACAAAGGGAAGAGGCAGAAGCCTTGAAAAGTGTCAACAGTGATGTTTAATGTAAAAGAACGCGTTTCTCCTACTCTCGCTCGCAGCGTGTGACTGTCCAGGTAGCTCTCGAGCCATTCCAAGGAAACTTGGAGTAGCTGGAGCTTCGTAAGAAGGATGGTGGGTTCCACCACTTCGAAACAGCAGCTTTGATCTAAAAGTGCCAGAAGCGTCATTTCGGATCGGTCCATTCAATGCAACATTTCACCTGAAATAGTTGAGAGGATCGCGCAGGTCGACTGATGTTTCATGAATCCTTTCTGGTCAGTGCTAACAAGGCTTTGGTGTTTCATGTAGGCTGCTGCTGAAAGAGCTTCTCACATTTTGCATACGACTGCAACCAGCGGAATGAACCTAAAGTTTGATGTTGCAGATAGGCCGTTCTTCTACGAAGTGACCTCCCAACCGTACTTTTGCAGATCGATGACAGTGCTGATATGCGACGTTAGTTTCGACCGATGACGTTAAAAATGTTGCGCTTGAAGTTTTTTTTTAGTTTCAAGATGTTAGCTGATTGATCACCTTCCATATCCGATGCTTTGAAAATATCCGATCATGTGAATATGCCATATCCGATCCGGTGAAAATAAAACCCGCTGAAACTGGCCAAGTGTAACAGGCACGATATCCATTGCGCCCGGGTTGTCACGAAGGAGACGGACGTCTAAGCTTTCCCGTCCCGGATGATGAATGTCGCTGGTGACCTTGTCCCGGGTCTCCGTGCCGATGGAAGTGAAAAGCGCAGTAGTTCGTTTGGTGTATGGTTTATGCGCTCTACGCTCGCGTTTGTGGAAGCGCAAACAGTACGATTGCTTCACAATTGCAGAAAGTGTTTAACTTTGCAGCTTGGGTGATTCACGACGACGTAAACCTGACCGTGTTTGGATGTCGTACGATGGTTTGGCTCGCTTGATGTCCAAAGGTTTATAGACTTTTTCGATATATGTCCTTTAAACAAAGCATTACAAGACCATCCCATATTTGCCTGAGAACACTACATTTTTATTGGTTTAGTCAAACAAATTACATTGACATGTTTGGACGTGTCCGCATGCAGCCTCGAGTGCAAGAACAGCGATGGCCTGGGTTGCGGCTTCCGTGAAACCGAGCGGCATCGGCCCCTGCAAGTGTCGCAAGACGGCGGGCGCCGTGGTAAAATGTCTTCTGGACAGATTAATAGCTACAGAAACACGAAAAAACTGATATTTTACCTTTACTCTTCCCAATTCCCCGCCAGATTCTAGCATCGCTTAGTGGTGCTTTAAGTGCCAGTCCATTCCTATTATCCGTCTAAAAATCGCGCACGTGAAATATGCGCCCAGACTGTCTTCTAAAGGTAAGATTTGATGACATAAAGCGCTCCAAGGCACTTTTTCAGAAACGTCATCATTTTCAAACACCCGTTGGCCACCGCTTCGTATTTGCTGTTGGGCCGACGCTGCGCGGCCTTGAGAGACTGCAACGCCTGGCGTCGATATTTTGTTGCTAAGAGTTGCGCGTGAGCATGCTCAAAATTATGTCACGTAACTGGTATCTCTAATGGATGTAAGTTTCTAAAGGTAATTAATAAAAAGAGAAGTGCCATAATTTTCGTCCACCGATGGACCACAGCTAAAAGTTAGCCCATAGACTAACGCTCCGCGGACTGCGGAGACTGCAACGTCTTAAGTGGAGGTTTTTGTTGCTAAAATTTGCGAGTGGGTGTGTTAAAAAAGCACGTTACATAAAATAAAATGTATCACTGATCGATTCTGACTGGATGTTGAACATTTCCAGCCAAGCGTGGCTTGATCATGTTAACACACACTGTTGACCACTCGATCAACCATCAAATTTTCATATTCAAATTTCGATCAGACATATCGATCTATAATGTACCTTCGCAATGTCCTTCATGTTTATAAAACCCAGATAAAAAATTCAGACAAAGTTTCTGAGTTCTATCGTTTCAGAAAGAGTCAACAAAGTCATGGTAAATTAAAGACGCGGGTAAGCTTGTTTCACGCGGTCGCTCAACGCCTGATTTTTACAGTTTATCGACTTCAAAATACAAACAGAATTGATCTCACGGAAGCTCCTTTTTCCTGTTCTGGTTGCAATGTAAAAATAGCAGCAAAACGAAGAAAACCGTGTCACTTGTTAACAAGGAGCTATGTCCGGGGAGTTTTTAGAGGGGTGAGTTTACCATAAGAAGGGCGTTTTCCGACACCGTGTTCCTCCTTGGCAAGGTTTTGGCTACACCACTGCCCACACACAAAAGCAGATCAAGTCGCCTACGTTGAATGATAGGCAATGAAATGTCCATTGGGTCAATGCCTTCCTAAGGCAGGCAGCTTCCCGGAGTTTTTTCTGCGATGGTGTGGTGTACGGGAAGATAATTCGTAAAAAGATACTGCTGCAGGTGTTTTACATATGTTTTACAAACCAATTAGTAGTAATGCTGATCCAGAAATACGCAACAAAGCACCCATACGATCAGTTCGCGGTCAGTCATGCGGGAGATAGTCGGCCCAGGGTAGTGGCCACCGATGGCGAACGGTAGCAGGGCCCAGGTAAGGAGTGTATGGCAAAAGGGTCTTCATTCTGTGGCTTGATTTTTAAAGGATAATTTTCAGTTGTATGGCTTTTGTCACACTGCTTTTGACAGCTCCAGGCTTTCGATTTTGTATCTAAAATGTTGCGACAAGTCTAATGTCTTGAAAATCAGCCAGTAAAATGAAGGCGCATGCAAAATTTGTCGCGCTGTGAGCCATCGATTCGTTTTCAAAATTCTCACCAACGGATGTCCAGGCCGCATTTTGGCATGTACCCTGTGGAGGCAGATGCCTCCTCAATAATCGAAATGCATACCCGCGCGTATAATTTCGCCTCCCCTGGAAAGGCCATGTTGAAATGGACGAATAATTCTGGGGAGCTGGACAAACTTATTTGCCGAATGACAATGACGAGTCGAACAGGCAAGATTGTGCATCAGTGGGTAACAGCTCTAGGTGCATGTTTAGCAAAACAGACATGACATTTGAGTAAAGAACGATAACAACCTCCATCTCTACCCCCGCCCCCTCCGTTCATCGGGCTTACTTTCACAGAAAAAGTTCCTGAAGCACGTCCTGAGCTTGGCCCCCACTTTTTGAAACGTTCCTACGCCTGTGTTTACATCCATAACAATACCGAGCTCAATAAGCGTCAATCTAGTTATTTATCTCTTTCTCGCCCCAGGCACAACCATGAAAAGCGAACATATGTCTATCGAGCTACGCGCGTATCTATACAACGAGAGTGTCATGACCAACGACATTGCAAACTTGCCCTTTTCTACTTTTAAGGCTCGTGCCCATGACCTCGTACGGAGCACCTGTAATTTTTGACCCTATATGTCTCTTTGAGTGTTGTTTAAGCTTGTCGCCTCGTGACTGTATATGTACCCGTTGACGGAGGTCTGAGAAAAGCACAATAATACGGAATGACCTGATAAAATGCAAAACAAATAAGATAAAGTGACACCGTGTTGTTGGCGCTGTTCAGCAGTTGCGTGGTCCGCCGACAGGTGTCAGCCCGATCGCTACGGGCGGCGAGCCTCGGCGCTCACCTGGCCCACGGCAGCGGTCTCGGCGGCTGTAGCCGGCGTCTTCTCCTCCTTGTCCTCCAGCATGGCCGCCTGCTGCTTCTCGATCTCGCGCCGCTCCAGGCTGCGGACGGCGGCCGGCGACGTCAGCGGCGGCTCTCTGAACACGTGGTCACCGCCGAGAGACGGGCGGACCGCGGCCCGACCGGCCGCGTGAGGCATCGTTGCAGACCCGTGGGGGACATGACTCTGGCTTGAACCATGCACTAGCCAAGCGATGTCGATTCGCGGGTTTAAGGCACGGTGTTGATGCGCACGCAGGCACGAAGCGCCCTGCGCACTCAAACCAGTTTGCATCAGTTTGCCATTTGTCGATAAACTGGTGCAAATGTTCGCATTTCGTCAGGGACTGGCAAACAGCAGGACAACCAAGAGGTTAGTGTTGACCACGCCAAGGTTAGCATTTGCACATTACTCGAACTGTTGCGACACTGGCATTGTTTTTAGCGTCACAGTACACCATAAAACGGCCCGCCATGGCATTATTATTCCTTTATAGTCCGGCGGATCCTGCAGCTCTCGCCTCGCACACGCAGCATCTCACGCTCCCAGACTTCGCCGCCGGGACTGAATACTAAACAGACGCGCGGTTATGAATACCTCGAGAGTGGCCGCGTCACGCGGAGGTCAGCTGAAGGGGGGGGGGGGTAGCTGAGGTTGAGGGGGTAGGTCAGGTAGAGCGGGAGGTCAGCGGGAGCTATCACCGTCTACGGCGGGCCACTCGCCTTGCCGACAGGTCAGACGACGCTGACTCAGCGGGCAGCCCGTGGGCACGCGCTGAAGTGGTCGTCAGGCTGTTGTGTAAATCGGAGCTCCGAACGTCCTGACCCTCGAAGGACCAACGGATTGTATATGTACGTGCTGGAGACGGGGGAGGGGGGCATCTCCGGAAGACTGGCTTAGCGAGAGGTCGCAGCCTGGACATAGATGTCGCCAGGGACGACATGTTCAGCAAACCTGGTCAGCTTGCCTCTACCTGCCGAAGGCCAGAGACGGTCGGCTTGTCCCTTGGACGCCGCCCTGATGGGGAAAAGGCGGCTGGGGAGATACGGCCGCGTTGACGTCCAGCCGCGGGGGAGGGAGGGCGGGGGGGGAGGGGTGCGCTCAACCCCACCCGACCTCAGCGCTTCTGTCCGCCGGCGGCGGCTGGGGCGGCCGGACAGCCCACCGCCGGCGGCGGCAGACGACCAGTGAAGGGTACAGCGAGCAGGACACGGCACCTGCACCAGCCGCCTCGGACACCGCTGTCGCAAGCCGGCGGCTGCGGGGTGGGGGGGGGGGGGCAAGGTCGCCAGGTCAGCCGGGCCGCCGCCAAACGGGTCGCCCGGCGCCGCGCTCCGGCGTGGACGCTCGCTGGGCGCCGCAACACGTGCGAGCGCCCGTGCAATCCGGGCACGGGTGGGAGGACCGGCCGCACGTTACAGCTGCGTTGAACGGGTTGCAACAGCTGCTTAGATGCTTAGATTGTGTCATTTCCCAATGGGTGTCCATGGCTCAGCTGCAAAGCGGTCGTGGAGGTGAAGGCCAGCACAGGGGCGGGTATAAATATGTCTGATGGTCTGGGATCCGTTATCTAGTGTGATTGACTCTCCGGCACGAGTCAGACGCTCACTGCTTCGCTGCAGTCATGAGAACGGTGAGTGGTCCGGGCAAAAACGCTCACAACCGTGCTCGAAGAGTGGTAGTACGGTGGCCGTGGTGATAGAAGAGTGGACTGGTAGAGGCACCATTTGAGGAACGAGCTCTATGTAAGCTGCAATTGCCAAAATGGGGAATACCACAGTGAATACCAGTGAGACATCAGTGTGTCGTGTGTTATACGCTAACGTGAAAAAACGTGGAGCACAGTGCCAGGACAGCGCAACTTGACTCTCGTCCAGACTCATTCCGAGACGGCATAAACGCATAAATACGTCTTTGGCCCGAGTATCCCGGACCGCAAACTGCCCACCGCATTTTATAACGACTTACATGCATCCCTCTACTTAACGAACGAGTTAACCGTCCCACCGCACGGCGTTTTCAGTTCATGCCAGCGCCAATGTCTCGCTGTTTGAGACCCTCGTTGCATCTGCGCAGGCTACTTCCGACTAATGCTACACTGGTTCACCTGTGCTATGCCATCTATCTATGCTATGGCTATCAACCGCTAATGCGCGCTTTTTCAGTTCGTTGTTGCCGCTGTGCTGACGCTGGCTGCGGCCGCGCCCCAGGGACAGCCCGAGGTGCGGGTGCTCTCCGAGAAGTTTGAGCAGGATGAGCAGGGCAACTACCAGTACGCTTATGAACTCGACAACGGACAGAAGGTGAGGGCGAAGGCATCCACTTCTAGCCGTGCCAGACAGGCATCTTCTAAGACATTGGTCGCACCAGGCAGTGATAAATGATGTTCTTTAGGAGCATGCCATATGATGTGATTCAAACGAGCGGTTCTTCGACGCTGGTGTCACGCATGCGATGTTACCACTTTAAGGTTTTGTCTTCGGCGGTAACATTACGGACTAAAACGTTTCGAATGAATCATAACTTCAAGGCATTTACCTTCCGTGGGCCGCGAGGCCAAAACATCCCGACGTTAAGTGCAAAGACAGACCAAAATAGGATAGTGATTGAATTAGGGCCACAAGCCACAACTTTCTAAGGAGATAACTAAAAAACAATTGTTCGGCAGGCCCAACGAACTTAAAGACATATTTAGCTCAAAACAGCCGAGCCCTCAGGGGTCCGGTGGGGTCTATCTGGCTGAACGAACACGTTTCCCGTTTTCGTCACCAGGTGGATGAGTCGGGCCAGGTGATTCCCGGCTCCGAGCCCGAGACTGGGTCCCTCAGCGTACAGGGATCCTACTCTTTCGTCGGCGATGACGGCAACACCTACACCGTGACGTACACGGCCGACGAGGGCGGCTTCAAGCCGGAGGGTGCGCACCTGCCTGTTGGACCCGCCCAGATCCCCGAGTATGCGCAACTGCGCCAGGAGCACCCCGAGCTCTTCTGGGCCGAGAACCAGCAGTTCCAGCTGGACCCGCGCCTCGGTTCGACTTAAACCGAACTGTTTGTTCGCAGCAAGCGGCAGCGAACTCCCCTGTGATCATTCCGCTCGTGAGCTGGGACTGCTATCGCTGCAGGCCAGCTGGCGAACGCCTGCTGTACCATGCGCACGGCGCCTGTGCCGTTTTATGTATGCACCTGTGATCCATGTTCATGTTGACGCCGAGGGCCGGCGTATTTGTAATAAAAAGGAGCTATGTAAAAAAGGACTTAAACAGCACACATGCAATGTGAAATTGAAGACAGCATGAAGAAAAACAATGGTGAGGAGTCCCGTTGGATTGATTCGATTATGCCAAAGGGCAATACGTCACGCGTAAATACACTATATATATATATTCATAAGAGGAAACCGGCTGACGTATGGGTAGAAAATATGTGGTCCTGGGAGATTTTAACATCCCAGGATAGAACGCAGATTTTACCCAATTGTCAAATCGTAACAAAAACATTTTTGCATGCTTGGAAGAAAGTTTTCTTCGGCAGCTGGCGTGTAAGCCCACTAGGGGAGTGGAAATTTTTGATCTTGTTTTGACTAATGAGGGATGGCTGGTAGATGCGTCAGTGTTAGGTGAGACACTAAGGTGATGATGACGACGATTTGAGCTCTGAGGCACACCGACCACAATGGTCACATGGCGCCCATAACTTATTTTTCATTTCAATGGTGTGTGAACAAAGCGAGGGGACAAGATTTCGTCCGATACATGACATGAAAAAGAAAACATATGACTGTCATTTACTAAGCTCGAGTCGTCTCCCAAGATACCACAGACTGTTTGGTGCACGGATCCAAAGTGATCCAATGATCTCTGATCCAAAATGGTGCATGCGTTCCGAGGCGAGGCGGGCACAATCAATCTAGACATGTCGTACGATGTAATGATCCCCACAACGAGGACATCGCGGTTGGTCTTCCCACATATCAGGTGTCCGTGAGTTGCGCATGCATGACCTATTCTCAGGCGGCATAGCGTCACTTCATCCCACCTCAACTTACGACAGCTGGACGGACGCCCATGGTCCCAACTAGGGCTTTATCTCTCTTTGTTTCTTGGCAGCATGCGCATTCCAATTCGCTTGCCATTGCTTGAACATGAATGCTGATACTACTGCATATAGGTCGTTAGCAGGGACTGCTATAATGGGGATGCCAGTTGCGTGTGTGGCATGCCCTGCTGCGGCATCAGCTTCTTCATCACCCGATATGCCAACGTGGCTCGGTATCCAGCAGAATACCACCTGCTTCCCGGATCGGGACAGTGTAGTAAGAAGAGTTAAAATGCTCTGAACGATGAGATGTCATGAATCCAAATCCCGCAATGCCACGAGGCTACTGAGAGAGCCCGATGAAACTAAGTGTTAATCGTCACTGTCAACTTCTGCGTAGTTAAGTGCTTTAAGAACGGCTACTAACTCGGATGTGGAGCCGATGCGTGACCAGGCAAAACGAAAGGCCGTGTGACAGGACCCTGCACACAAGCACATCCAACACCGGCATCCACTTTCGCTCCGTCCGTGTAGGTCTTTTTGTGATCCGGTTATGACGCGATCAACTTCAGTGACCTCAGCTGGAACTCGTCCGGGGAAACCTGCCTCCTAGCGAAATGGGAAAGTGAGACATCCACCGCTGGTGGATAGAGCTTCCAAGGAGCGGTCTCAGGAATTTTCCGACGGATCACATGCCGTGTGTGAGTGCCACACTCGTGTAAAAGTAGGAACACCCTCACACAGAAAGGCGCGATCTGACGGACTCTCCCAGCCAGAAACATGCGTATTGTTCTGCGCGAAAAGACCGACTTGTATCTCGGGTGATAACGTGAACACTTGAATCTTGGGTAAACTGTGCGAACTCGCAGGCGTATCGCATGCCCAGTATCTTTCTCCTAGTTGACGTGAGGCGATAGAAAATAGTGCCATCATAGTGTATGGTTTGTATTGCATCTAGGTCATTTAGCTAAACCTAATCATACACTTATTCCAAATTTTGCTAGGGGTGAATTTAAAGAACTTTAAGTCATTCATGACAGCTTCCAGTGGAAACATTCTGTAACTGGACTCACTGTACATCAGATGTGGGAAGTGTTCAGGTCAGCGACCTTACAAAGTTCATATAAATTAGTGATGCCAAACGATCCGCTATTTAATTGCCTGCAGATATGCAAGATTTGGCGTGGCTACGCCGCGCCTTTCGGAAACCATTCTGGAAAACCTTCGGGGGGGGGGGGGGCGATTTGAACCCTTCCCCCACGGCGTTAAGCCTTACAATTTCCAGGATTTAAAGGCTGAAAAGCAATGAAGGGCTACTAGGAGCACGGCACTTCGCATGCTTGGACTTATTAACAGGAATGTACATTACAAGAGCAGGAATATTGTCAAAAAAGTTGTACAAATGCGAGGTAATATTAACGATTGCAACCACTGTGTTCCCACTAGCCGCATTTACATGCAGTTCGCAACTTCCAAACATTATCAGCAAACCTAGGAGCCAGTGAGGCGCCTCTTGCGCCGTGGGAAAAATGGATGATAACAGACGAGAATGATATGAAGACGATGTCTAAGCATACAGCAAATGAAGCCTTTCACCTTCGAGAACCCACTTGGCTAGGAGTAACACATGCATCGGCCTGTCCTGCTTTCATGAGCTTGGCGGACGGAGACACATGTATGTTAAGGTTCCCAGTGTTTGATACACAACTAGCTCAGTTTGCCCTTGACATACAATACAAAATGTCTGACTTCTTTTGCAGTTCAGAACTAACACGTTGGAAAGTAACCAGTGGGTAATACGTGTATTGGCTGACCAGCATCGGGTGGGGGGTGGCTATGACCAAGACCTCACGGGCATCTGGTTGATTTGATAGAGACATACCTACTGGCTGAGGCTTCTGAGGAAAGACGCGGGGTCAAGCGAAAAATGCGATTCACTGTCACCAGGTCAGTTGCCAACTCATCAAAATCCCGCCTTAATTAACAAACAATGTTCATTCAAGACGCAATAAATGGTACTCGCAATCATAAATCATATCATTATTCGTTATCTTGCAACTAAACAACTAAAAATGGTTATGCGAGCATAACACAAACCAGCTGTTCTTTTGCAAAAGCACTGCTTGCACAACAATCCAAAACACAGTTACAGCACGTGCACGATGACATTCCCAAAGAATAGTGAGTTAAGAGGCTCCTATCTACAACGCATACATTTAAACCAAATAGCCATACAACCGCAAAGCCGGCCAAGATCAAAGCAAAGATCCCGGGTACGTGCCGCCCTTGGAATACCAGAGCTACCACAGCAGCCAGATCAGAGTTCCCAGAGACAGAAGATGCCACAAGAGATGTGAACTGAACAGCAGACAAATTGTATTCAGCCAGACTCTATTCACATGGCATTCATTATTCATAAGCAACCTAAATGTGACAATACCAACTGCAGACTGTATCTGCTTGTGAAGTGTGGTTTCATGCGTTACATTCATCTCACAACACACTGAACGACTGGTGCTATATTTTCCTGATCATGCAATTCTGTTACACTAAAGCAAATGCCAAATATCTCCAGCTTTTTAGCTGCTTTAACTCCGTCGATTGTCTCAAAACAATTTCTTAACAGGCCTAGCAACATAAATTTAGTGATGCTCAAGTTCTGCTCAAATCCTGATTCAGTCTCACATCTTTACAGCTGTCTATATTGCTTGCATCAGTGCTCAGTTTGTTACAACAAATGGGTCATCTGTCATCACTAGCTGAGCTTGACTTCTGCAAAACTTATCTCAATTCTGTGAATGTCTGGATTAACACGCATTTTGGTTGCTCAAAGTTATATTTCTAAGACGAGCAGCATTCCGTTTAAAGGGAATGTTCAAAATGTGTACGTGGTTTTGAACTGAGATAGCCATTTTGAAGAGCACCCAGTGCATTTCGTAACGCGGCCCTATGCAATGTTTAAAATGTCGTGTTTCTGAGCTTGGCATCCACAAATCAGTGCAGACTTTTTCAAGATCATCCAGACATTTAGGATATCATACAAACGTCGCGCAAGTATCAGCACCTCATTGGCCATGTAGTGCTCAAGGCCAATAGCAAATACGAATCTATAATGATTCGTATGTGGCGCACGTCAGCACAATTCGTACTATCAGCCGTCACAAGTTGAGCCTTGATGCGTTGCATGTAAGTTTCGGACACCAATCACGTTTTACGCTAGATAATGCAGGAATTCGGGCAATGGTACGAGCTATGAGCAAGTAAGACCGGGTATCGACAAAATAAAAGGAAGGTTGTATGGGGCTTTGAACAGAAATAGCCACCTGGAGGATCACACCCTGCAGTTCACAGCCCTACCCTTCTCAAGGCCTAAACCTGTCTATTTTCTGGGCTACACGCCCACGCAGATGTCTAAACTTCGTCGTGCAAGACTACTTCAAAGCCACCTAGGCATCCATGACGTCATATTAGCGTCATCGTGGGGAAAAGGCGGCTGGGGAGAGACGGCTGCGGCGACGTCCAGCAGCGGGAGGGGTGCGCTCGATCGCGCCCCACCTCAGCGCTCCCACCCGCCGGCGGCGGCAGGGACGGCGGGACAGCTCACCGTCGCCGGCGGCAGACGACTGGTGAAGGGTATCGCGAGCAGGACACGGCAGCCGCATCAGACACCGCTGTCGCAAGCTAGATCGTGTAAGATTGTGTCCTTACCGCTGGGAGAGCATATCTCGCAGCAAAATATGCATATCAGTACGCCGTCTGGTGCATTACCGCTGGAAACGGCCGGGGAGATGAAGGCCGGCGCCGTGCCCGGTATGCGTATGTCTGGGGATCTGGGGACCCCCAACGCAAGTCAGACGCCTGCGGTTTCGCTGCGATCACAAGAACGGTGAGTGGTGCCTGCAAGAACGCTCACAGTTGCGGCTGAAGAGTGATAATTTGGTGGTGCTAGTGGGAGAAGAGTGAACTGGTGGTGGTACCGTTTCGGGAACCTGCTCCAGTTAAGCTGCTATTGCTCTCCGATGATGATGCTCACTGAGAAGTTCGAGCAGGATGAACAGGACAGCTACCAGTAGGCGTGCGAGCCCGACAACGAACGGGAAGTGGGGGCAAACGCATGCACTGTATTGGATCTGTTTCACGGAGCTCGACGTAAATACAAGTGTCTTTGAAGGCAACTCTTCCACCAAACAGTTTCAAATAATGTGTTGCGTAGAACATGCCAAGTATCATAATTCAAACAAACAGTTCTTCAACGCAAGCATGCATCAACGCATGCACGTTTCAGCGCATGCGCGGGACCACGCGTGGAATACTGCTACTTTCACGCTTTGTCTTCGGTGGTTACACCGCGGACTTCAATGCCGCCACAGTACAGTATCACTTCAGGGTTATCATTAAATCCGAAGCTGCAGGCGGTTCGAGGTGGGGTTTGTTAGTCAGAAGTAGCACCATTTCCCCGTTATCGCCACCAGGTGGACGAGTCAGGCGACGCACCCTGCCGACGAGAACGGCCTCCACCCGCGAGACGTGCATCTCCCGCTTGAACCCGCCCAGGTCCCCGAGTACGAACAGCTGCACCAGGAACCCCCCGAGCTCTTCTGGGCCGAGAACCAGCAGTTCCAGCTGGACCCGCGCCTCGGTTCGACTTAAACCGAACTGCTTGTTCGCAGCAAGTGGCAGAGAACTCCCATGTGAAACTCGCGTTCGTAGTTGGCACTGCCGTTGCAGCTGGCCAGCTGGCGAACGCCTGCTGTACCATACGTACGGCGCCTGCGCCGCTTTATGTATGCATCTGTGATCCATGTTCATGTTGACGATCCGGGGATATTGCTGGTAGGGCTATGGGTGGATAGGGTAGAAATGCTGGGTAAATGCATAAAAATGCGACCAAATGTTGCCGACTCCGATTATTATACCCTCAGTAGATGCACTCACATGAAACACGCGATATAAAATAGTTAATAGTGAATATTGGAACCAGTGAGACGCCTCCTTCGGCATGGGAAGAACGAGATGATACAGACGAGGCTATTGTCATAAAGATGATACCTCAACATAAGGTAAATGGAGCCTATCGCCTTCGACAACTCACATGGAAAGAAGTCATAAATGAACTTGTCTATCCTACTTCCATGAGTTTGGCAGACAAATACAATATATATATATATATATATATATATATATGCATATATATATATACTATGAAATATTATCTTTGTTTATATATATATATATACATATATATATATATATGTATATATATATATATATATATATATATATATATATATGTATATATATCTCTCTCTCTCTCCTCTCTCTCTTCTCTCTCTCTCTCTCTTCTCTCTCCTCTCTCTCTCTCTCTTCTCTCTCTCTCTCTCTCTCTCCTCTCTTCGTGAGACCACAAGTTTTGTACATTAGTTATGATTGCAGGTTATATTTACAGCGCCTTGAATGGACGTGAGATGCTTAGTGCTGCGAGGGATTCGGTGAATTGGCACCACTGAACATAAATTAACCACACACACACAACACACACACAACACACACACACACACACACAACACACACACAACACACACACCACACACACACACACACACACACACACACCACACACACACCACACACACACACAACACACACACACACACACACACCACACAACACCACACACACACACCACACATATATATATATATATATATAGTATATATATACATGTATATATTAATTTATGTAGATGCATATATGTATATATACATGTATATATGCATGTTTAAAGCACGATACATATATGTGTAATAAACCTATGTTTAGTGCCGCCAATTCATGGAAATCTCGCAGCACTAAGCACCTTACGTCCGTTCAAGACGACGTAAATATAACTTGCAATCACAACTAATATACCAGTTTGTTCTCTCACCAATAAAACCCTAAAACGTTCAGCCAACAAGCATCGCGTAAACCTCTATTCTTTTGAAAAAGCACCGCTTACACAACACAGCAAGCCCCAGGAACATTGCGTAAGAAAGCTTCCAATATAACGCACACAGTTGACAGAATGCCTATAAAACCGCAAAAGCGGCCAAGATCAAAGCGAGCCCCCGGCTCGCGCCGCCCTTGGAATACCAGTTCCACCGCAGCCGCCAGGCCAGAGTTCCCGGGGCCGGAGGACGTTATGGGAGATGTGGCCTGAACAGCTGACAAGCTCATCTTCAGCCGGATCCTTTTGACTATTCATAGGCAGCCTGAATATATCACGCGTGACATCACATGACATCCTCTTCAGCGCAGGCCACGGCTTTTCAACGCCCATGAAAATATAATGTTTTCTAGTACATCATGTCAGACCGAATCAGCGTTCAATGAAAGCCGAGGGTGAACAACCAGGACTGACCGTCAAAAGGCGAAGAAATACTGTTGCTCGTCAGAGGCACGCCACTCTGTGTCGTTGCAAACAAGTATCGCGGATGGATATTACGAATCAACAGCATAAATGCTGCCACCACGGCGCCAATTTCGGCAGGCACACTTTTCGGCGTAGAGAGTTCATACAGAGCGTAGTAAATTTCACCATGCTTCACGCTTAGCAGCTACGGTAACCGCCTACGGTCACCCCGGCATGAAGTGGACCCTTGCTGCTTATTTACAGTAAACGCGCTGCATAACCGCACAATGCCGCGAGGCCGGCTCAAGTACAGAGCAGATGTGAAGTGGCGCGGACATTCTGCGCCTGCTCCACGCCTGACCGCGCACGCAACGCAGCGTCAAGGCAGCACGGCACTCGACCTGACCTGACCGCGGCGCAGCCGCCGCCGCTTTGTTCCGCAGAGGACTCCTGAGCCCACGCTGGCAAACAGCGGCGGGATGGGTTACGCCAGGAGCGGGCCCCACACCGTGACGGCACGGCTGGCGGCGGCCGCGCGGCTGGGGGCGCGGAGGCCGTGCAACTCCTGTGCTTTGAGACAATGTGCCGCTCGGTCTTGGCAACCGATGCATTGTCTGCCCCGCGTGGCGTCTTCCGCGTGCACATATGGTAGAAGAGAGCTCATTAATAAACCTGTTTGGGGAACTCGAGAAGGTCGCGGTGCCGGCCAGCGCTAACGAGAACTTACAAATGCGGGTTAATTCAGGTCCAGGACGGGCGCATTGTCAGCATAATGCGAATATACGCCAATGAGATCTGCGGGAAGGTCAGTGACTAAAGGTCTAGGTTGTAGGTGCTCAACGCTATTTCGTGAGGCTCTCATAGGCCTCGAATCGTATGGAGTCAAGCTTTCAGATGTCCCGATCGGGAAGATAGTTAGACGGATCGCCTCACAAATAGTATCGCACGAGATCTTGTGATTCATTACAGTGACTTCCGACTCTAGAAACCTAAGCTTCAAAAAGAGGTAGCTGCCGGGAGTGAATCGAAGGCAAGCTTCTGCGGACGCGGTGTCCCACTTATCTTGTCATAACTCAAAATATGAGTACCAAACATCAGATGTCAATGCAAAGGACTGGAAATGCAAACGCCAGAAGTAAATCAAAGGCAAGCTTCTGCAGACGCGGTGTCTCACTCATCTCGCTATACTTATCATATGAATATAAAACATCGGATGTGGGTACAAAGGACTGGAAAACGCCTTAATATTCTGACACAGTTGTTAATGTTAGACATTTTGCTTCCACGAAACAGAGGCAGACACAAATACGAACTATCTCCTAAACCGCTTCTAAGCTTATGCATTTCCTAAAAGGAAACGCAAAATGCATTCCTCTATATATATATATATATATATATATATATATATATATATATATATACATATATATAATGCTATTGGACCTCAATGACCACTACTGTCTGACAAACGTCTTCTTGCAGCTACTCCATCCTAAAATTATGTTATCTCATGCGTCTCATGCGTGTCATTGCTTGAAAGCTTTATTTGTCCAGGATGTCCTGGCGTGGTAAAAGTCACTAATTTTAAGCATAAGAATTCATAAGACGGAAACTTCAAAGCTATCGGCCTTGCGCGGCCCGCGCCGGCCGGTCACGTGTTTGAAGTTATACCATTGCAACTGATGTTCGTACTGGCGTGGTTCTTTCATAAAAAGTGACAAAACCCTTCACACATGTTTACGCAATGCTATGAAACCTTTGCATACAAGGAATTTTATGGGGCGAACGTTTTCTGCAACGCTGCGACATGATCACAATTTCACTAACACAGTTCCATTAACACGGGAAAAGTAGTTTCGAGTTGCGACGACGGTTCAAACGGCGCATGAATAATTCATTCCCTCTCAGTTCTCAAGTTAGGAATTCTCATGTCATCAACAGGCAAAAGCCAAGATACATATCTAAGCCACATGCGTAACGCTTTACACAAAAGGTCAAAATATGCATGCTAAACAGTAGAAGGGTTGGGTAAGACCAGCCGGACCCAACTGCCATGACCCGGCTTGACCTCCCGGACGAGGTCAGACACGTGACATAATGTCCGCCTCGGATTGGAGCGCAGCCCCGCGGCGCCAAACGCCCTCCGGCTATCAGCACTGCACCCGTCCGAGGATGATCAAAAGCGAACTCTGCCCACAACTGTGCAGCCGCGCCCTCCGCCATCGTTCAGCAGACCACCACCTGCGCCGATGACCCAGACATGACCCCGCCGCCGCAGGCACATGTCACCGGCCGCCTCCGGCCCCGGTTTTTCAGCGAGCTTCGGCGACTTGGTCCATACGCGTGGGGTGCGAAGGGTGTTATGGCTGCGAAACGTGGGCTTTGTGTCCCCTGGTTAGAGCGTACAAGTGTGACGTGTGTTCCTATTGGGTAGCGTGTTTGTCATACTCGCCAACCACTTGGAAAGCGCTCCGACCGCGTGTTGGTGATATCATCTGTTCATATGATGCAATTACACATTTCTACAGACTGGGGATTGCCAGTGGAGCCCCGAGATAGGTCCTTGGATGGGATAGGTGAAGGAGCTTGGAGACGGCCAAGAGGCTCACTTGGTTCTCGGTCAAAAGGACCTCAATTCAGTCACAAGCCATTATAGCCACGGGACCATTAAAGTCACAGGCCCATTATGGTCACGGACACGTGGGTGCCACAGGTACTCACATGTACAAGCAATACTTGAGAAAGTTTTACACCCCGCCGACGTTATACGTGGTGCCTGGACTTCCACTGGTCTTCCACGATGTACGGTATATTGGACGCGGCTGCTGACTGGCACATCTACACCCAGGAGCTCAGAAAGGCTAACCTTCCATAATCGAGTCTATGACGGGTGATACTTGGTGTACATTTAACATATAAAATTGGTCTCAATGAAAAACCAAAAAAGCGAACAAAGAAACGGCATCCGTTACCAGGTGTGGCCCGTCGTATAGGAACAGCTTGGCCCGGTGCCAGGAGCCCGTAAACAGCCACAACCGAGTCAGCAGTTGCAATCGTCTGTCCAGCCGGCGTGAGGCAAGCAGCCAAGCAGCCACTGCATCACGCTGTCCCATGCACGGGTCGCCACGTGCACCGGAGCGCCCTGTGTCGCCACTGTCTGCCGCTGCATTCCTACAGGGGTGCGCGATGCACGAGCGGCGGGTTGCGACAGCGGCGCCGGTGCATCTGTGCCCGGGAGGTGGGTGAGGCGCGGACGGCGCGCATAAAACGGCACGCCGCCAGTCGGACGGCATCAGAGCCTCGGCGCATCTCCTCCAGTCAGCACCAGCTCCCGTCCACACCGCTCCCAGAGCCATGAAGCTGGTGAGTGGGCCGCGCCGGGACCGCCGCAGAGGGAGGCGCAAGTCAGTCAGCGCGGCGGGAGCGTCGGCGCGAGTCGACCGGCGCGGCTGGGGGTCGGCGCGAGTCGACCGGCGCGGCTTGAGAGTCGGCGGGATGGACTCAGCTGGCGAGGCGGAGGGAGACTGGTGTCTCTTGCTCTTGGGTGAAGTGGGGATTCAGGTCGGCGAGTTTCACTAAGTTTAACTTAGGGGCAATTGCGTTTCATGGGAAGAGAGAGACAGACACTTTCTTTCACTCACACACCCGAAATGAAGCGTTTGGGGACTTTCGAGCCTCTCGCATACGCAATTCGTTATTTACAATTGGTTTATGCGCGTGGCCATCGGGGAACAAATGGCATGGGAGCAAATAGAGGTTCTTTCAGATCCTTTCCTACTTTACCTAAGATCCGATCCGTTATCTGTGGTCCTGCGAGCATCCCGTACATCTCCAACCAATGTGACGCCGCTTCACTTCTTACTTACCGCTCAGCTGGATACTTCAAACTACATCCATGGCGCCTTACTTCTTGGCGAACGTTTATGAGTGACCGTCTCTTACTAACGATACGGCTTTTCAGTTCGTTGTTGCCGCTG